CCCCAAGAAATTGTATAGATTAAAAAGAAGAAAAAATAAACATTTTGTGCTTGAAAACTGTGTGAAAAACCCAGTGTTTTTCTGAAAACAGAAGCGTGTCCATTCCCTGCTCTCCCAGGTAACTGCGCCTGTTTTCCAGCCTTCTGTGTGAAGGATTAGATGCCGTGCCTCCACTGCTCCTCGGTGCCTGCCCAGGGCTGCGTCCCATCTCTTGCAGCTGTAGACGTGCAGTGGTGCTCCAGAAGAGCTGTAGTGCCACCCCACAGCACCTCGCTGCTCCTGCAGCGTTTCTGGTGCTCCGTTGCTGCAAAGCAGGCCGGGCCAGAATATTAAATGGGTTATTTTAAGAGATGGTATCTTTAGCATCTCATTCGTACTGCCAGCAATACTGCAGTTGGGTAGGTGGTAAATGAGGCGTTTGGACCGTGCACATCCCACACTGCCAGTACCAGGGAAGCCCCATTAGCATGAGCCTGGCATAATTTAAATGTGAGGGAGGGCATCGAAGATACTTGGCCCCAATACAAGTTTGTGCTGCTTGCACGCTCTTGGCAGTCACTGATGTCGGTGTAGGCTGCAGTAGAAATGAGGAAGGGCTGTGCAGGGAGAGGTCTGGTACTTCTGCTTCTGTGCTTCTGCACATCTGACGTGCAGTTCTGCTGTGGGTGCTGCCTGCATGTCAGGTGCCAGCCCTGTGCTGCTGGTCATCAGAGCCTGCCACCCAAGCATGGCCAAAGCTGTGGGAGCTCGTGGGGCTGCCTGGTGCCAGGTTTGGTCCAGAGCTAACCGTGTTCACTTTCACTTTTAAAATGAAGCTTTCAGCTTTTTAGTGCCTGCTTTCCTAAGTGGGCTGCTTTTAGCTGGCGGTGGGGTCAGAGGTTGATGCTTTCATTTCAGTGTTCATGACTTGAATTTTGTGATAGCCATCTTGGCTTCAGTTCTTTAGGCTGTGAACTTCCAGCTATGTTTTGTTGTCCCTGATCATGCTGAAAAGAGCTTTGGGCCTTGATAGCAATTAAGCAAATGACTTGGGATGGAACAAATTGGGCAACTTCTTGAGAAAAATGTGAGCAAAGGTGCTTTGCCTGCACCTTTGGAAAAAGAGAATGCCCTGCTCCAGGGAGCTGCTGGTCATTGGATGTCTTTCTTGTGTTTTAAGAAACAGTTTTTGTTTCTTAAAAACTGAGCTATGTTCCTAAGAAGTCCACTTAAATAGGACCAGTGGGCAAGTAGTTGACTGCTAGCTATGTGCCTGTGCTTTATACGAAGCCTTCGGAAAGCAAAAGGTGTTTGCACAGCAGGCATCGGTGCTGCTCAGGTAGCAGGGCTGGCTCCCAGTGATCTGTGCATTTTGCTGGATTTAACCAACTTGTGCTGAGCCCTGTCATCCAGCCTTAGCCTGGAGCAGGAGGCACCACAGGGCTGGTGCTACAGCATTGGTGGAGGGACAAGATATTGAAAGAGGGCTTCCTGCTGCTGAGTCACACACCTGGTAGTAAGGAAAGGGAGTGCGACTGGTCTGATGTCGAGAGTGCATCATTGCAGGGCAGCATGGGAGGGGATCCTGCACCCTTCAAGGTTCGTTGTTCACCCCGGCTCAGCCTCCCTGGCCCGTGTGTTCAACAGCTGATGTGAAAACTTGCCCTGTGTAACCGTGGTCTCATTCTGTAACTTAGAGTTAATATTACTCAGGTGTTACTTTACATCTACCCCTCTTCCATCACTGTCTGGCACAGCTTCTTTCATTTTTCTCTGAGATATTTGACATTGATGGTTATCAAAAACAGGCTGTTGAACTGAACGGGCTGGTTGTCCGGCCAAGCGTGGCAGTCTGTGCGCTCCTGCAAATTGATTCCTCTTTGGAAAGAGGCAGTCGTGCTAAATGCCAATATTTCTGAAATGAACTTCTTAATCAAGATGCGGGTTTTGCCATTTGATATTTGGGGAAGAAAGTCACTGATATCTTTGTGTCATTCGTGAGGTTAACTTGGCTTTTTCAGTAGCTGCTTTTTCCCTTGAAGTGTTTTTGTGGTCCTATTGCAGTGCTTTCAGTTCAGAGAACAGTGAGATTTTCCCCATAGACTTAGCGTTCAGAGTGTTCATGTTGGCTTTGTTCAATAACCATGAGTTTGTTATGGGCACTGCTTGAGTGGTAAATGCATCCTTCTTCATTCTTTGAAAGTCAGCCCTGGAGAGTTTTGAATAGAAGTCTTCATTCTGAAATTACTTGACCTCAGCATTGCTTTCCTCGTCCTGCCTGAAAAATGGCAAAGATTTCATGACTTTTGAGCAAGGTTGGCATCTCAGAAGTTAGATAACCTGCTGAGTTTTCTGCATTGCTGCGAGGACCCCCGCCTGAATTTCAGTAATGTGTGTTGGCTCGGAGATGCAGTAGTTTGTGACCGTTTAATTCCTGGGTGAAATTTTTTGTGTTCTGGTTCCTCTCCCGCCCTTCTCAATCCCTGATTTGTGGTGATGTTTGTGGGAAACGATGGCTGTGCTGCAGAGGTGTGTCTGCTGAATCTCTGAGATCTCTGCAGAGGCCACAGAATCAGAGAGTATCACAAGTTGAGTCCCACTGTCACGGATGGGTGACTCTCTTGCTATAGGATTGAATTTATAAAATGGCAAAAACATAATCACATGGGATCTCTTGGCATGGGTATTTATTGAATCGAGTACAGGTTATTTTTTGTCCATTTTTTCTTTTTGTGTGCGTGTGTTTCTATGGGGTTGACTTTTGCTTATGCAGCTGTACCAATGCAGATGTGAGCTGAGATTCAGCTGGGTATTTGTGCAGGCTGACTGCTGTGCTGATTGCTGCGCTTCTCTTGAATGAGCCTGGTAAATGCAATTATCTTCCTGTCTATATTGCTGAAACTAACTGTTGAGCACATGCAGACCGTGTTGTGGCTGATGAGTTGGTGAGGTTTGCCTGAGCAGGACTTGCTTTTTCCTAAGGTCTGTTTTTCCTATGTGTGCAGCAGGAAGGCGTTGTGCCGGCCCTGGCTCTGTGATCTGTTACTAATGCAGATAAGTTGCAGAAGTGCACCGTAATAAAACAGATTTTAGGAGCTGTCAGGTTACAAATTTGCATTTTGAAAGAATTTCTTGCTCAAAGGGACTTAAATGTACTGTGGTGCTGAATGTTAGCTGTGTCACTAAATAGAGTACCTGTAACTGATTTCATCTGGAAGGCTCATTCCAGAAGGCAGCAACTTCTTGTTGTAAAGTGTGCAGTCCCTTCTGTTATATTTTTTCTCCATCCAAAGTGATAGCCTGCTATCAGGATTGCTGTTACATATGCTTGGATCTATATTTGACTGTAAAGCTTCTCCCTTGAAGTAACTCCCCCATGAGAAGTCTAGAGGGTGCATAATTCAAGCCTTCACTTTTGTATACACAAACTTACTAAACTTTAGATTTTTCTTGCTAAGTGTGGAGAAGCCATGTACAAAATAAGGCCTGGTGTGATTAGGGATGTGCTGTAATGGTGGAATTCTTGTGAATGGATGGAATTCTTATTTGTAGAGGGTTTTTTTTGAAGTCTGTGGAGGAAGGAGCACTCAGTTTACCCTTCAGTGTCGCGCCCCGAATGGATGTGCAGCATACGTTCAGCGCAGTGCTGCAGCTGCCCATTGACAACCTTCCTACAAGGCAGAAGGAAAAGGTAGAACTTTCTTTTCCCTGTGAAGGCCTATAAAAAGTATTTACTTCTGTGTTGTAGTTTGGTGGGGATTTTTGAGTTACTTTGTAAATAAGTTAGAAACTTCTTCAGCATTCAGTTTTTTGTTTATCAAACCAGATATAGCACACCTAACAACGTTTCTTAGTGTTTGTTTCCTTCCCTCTGGTCAGCAGCTACAAGACACAAGGCGCAGTTTTTCCCATCGTTATCTCCAACACAGAAAATGTTGTGTGTAATTGAATTCAGTGATGCCTTTAGTGCTGTGGAGAGGACAGTTCAGTTTTTGGCCAAAAGCTCAGGCTGCCTTCAGAATAAGAAGCTAAGAAGTTGTCCACTGGGACATGGGCTGAGTATCTGTGAGAGTTTCTATCAAGAGGCAGGAACCTGCAGAGCTCGCTCTCATTCTGGCTTGATGGCTGACCTGCTGTATATGTGTATGGGATATGTCCCATTGCTATCTTAAGGTTTTTCCCTGTTACCTGGAGATCATAAATTTTGGCTCATTTCATTTCTCCTGTGCCCGATACTAGTTGTTATTAGTGGGCAAATGCTGAGAACTGTGGTGGTTTCAGGTGAACGTGCAGAACCGATGTTGAGCAGAAGCTTGTGGAAGGATGGCAACCAAGACAGCTTTGCTTCCTTTAAAGCAATTCTTCCTATGAACAGGCAGAGCAAGAAAGATGGGAGGGAGAAAACTGGGGCTGCAGTTAATGAGAGCAAAGCCCAAAACAGGGAATCCCCCAGGAGCTATGCCAAACACAGACTGTTTGCACAGCATCCTTTCCCCCATGTCCCATGTATTTATTCCCTTCTGCCCTGAAGTACTCACTGCATTTTTTTCTGGAAGAATCTAGCAAGCTTCATGCTGTATAAAAATGTATGTGCTTGCAGACCCAATAACCAGTGTGCGTGTTGCTGGGATGTAGAGTGAAGGACGCTGGTGATGTCACGGTGCAGTGGGTGCACAGCAGCAGGACGTGCGCTGGCCCTGAGCTGCTGCTTTCTCCCACCTGGTGCTCAGTACGTTCCCTTCCAAGTCCATCGTGAGCCCTGGACGCTGCGTAGCCTCCTGCCCCCAGAGGGGTGCCTTGCTCTGAAGGAATGGGTGAGGTGCTCTGGTTCTGCTGCAGCAGGCTCTGGGCTCTGACAAAGGGCTTTAGGAATGTTTATGCTGCCACGTTCTCAGTACGACACACGTGATGCTCTCTGAGGATTTCGGGTTCTGTTCTCGTGCAGAGCCTGCACTGGCTCTCGTGGAAGCGCCTTCGGCACGCTGCGCTCTGTGATCTCACGTGGCCATTTTGTCTTTTAGATTCTGAAAATGCGATCGCCAGCGACTGACACGTGGCCCCCGCAGCTCCGGTGCCAAGCGCCAGGTCCTGCTGCAGCTAAAGAGGAGGAAGAGGAAGATGGGAAATGATTTGTCGTGTGTGAGAAATTCTGTGCCGTTCTGGTCCATTCTACACAATTTTGTAACTTCTTTCTAATCATTTTCCTTTTTTATTTATAGTTGGAAATACAAAAATGTTATGCAAAAAAAAAAAAGAAAAAAAAAAATAAAGGAAAATTATTTTGGGGGAAAAGGACTTTGTTCCAAATCGTTCCCTTCTGTTGTGAGCCAGGTTCCTGTGAGCAGTTTCTGGAGAAGAGGGAGGAGGAGGAGGAGGCATTCTTTCAAATGCTTTTTGTTTCATGCAGTTAATTGTAATTTAAGAGATTATCCAAAAAAATAAGCTAGGCACATGTATTCAGGTTCCACTAAAAAAAAAAAAGATAAGTTCCAAGTCCATTTGAATTTCTCGCAGTCAGAGCTGTTCTTTTGTAAAGAGAATACTTAAAATCTGGTTAAATCAAGTAAAGAAACCTGCAGAGACTTCACTGGAGAGTAACTTTGTACTTGTCGTTTCCTTTTTTTTTAGCTCTTTCTTTTTCTTTGAGACTGGCCGCATTTTCTTGCCACAGTTAAATACAGGTCTCAAGTCACTTCTAATTTTAAATGTAAGCCTGAAATCCTTCTGCAGACGAGTCAGTAATTGGAGCAATTTTTAAAAGACTTTCAAGTGCCTTCAACAAGCAAAAATTATGGTGGTGGGAGATTTCTTTTCCTTGATTCACTCACAATAGGCTTCAGCTGTCTGCCGGGCTGGGGCGATGTACAGAGCCGTTTGTAGCAATAATCTCATGAGTAATCATTTATTACAAAGGACTACTCAACTTTTTTTTTTGTAGAGCAGTGGCTTTTAGTGCAGTCCCCGAGGAGCAGGAGTGCTGCTTTCGCTGTTGCATTCTGGCCCCAAACTCTTCCAACCCACTGCCGTGCACTCAGAGTTGTGGCTTCCCCTCAGCAGGGTCAGAGCCCATGTTCTGTTCACTCTGCTTCTGGTACTGGAGAAATACGAATTTCTAGTTGCCCACGAGCCTTTCCGTATCATCCCTTCTCGCATCCGGAGCCTGGCATATTGTTTTGTTGTTATCTGCCATGTTTGTCTCTTCCAGCTCTCAGTTCTAAATAATAAATCTTATTTTGATGCCGCTGGTCACTATTTCCTTACCACTTCAGCTCTGGGCTGCTTGTGAGCCGGGTCTGGGTGTGCTGCTGGCACAGCTGAGCTCAGGAACTGTGAAGCAAGGTGCTGTTAAATGCCTGGGAAATCCAAAATTTGAAGCCCCAGTGGCAAAACAGATGTCTGTGCTAACGTCGTGTTTCTCTGTGTTGCCTCCTGTCCTGCCTGTGTCTAAGGAAATGGAAATAACCTCCTGGCTGAGAGCAGAGCTAGGCAGGTGCTGAGGGCTGTTGGTTAAGTATTGCTTGCCCTCGGCTTTCCTGACGCAGGAGGGTTCCGTTCCCTTTGGAGCAGGGAATGTACAGGGGTCTGCTCTACACCGCTCCTTCCCTTCACATTCCTGGTCCCTCCAGTCTGCATGGAGTGCTCCCCATCCCATGGCTCTGTGTGGGGATGGCAGTGCCACAGCCTGGTGCTCTGGGGTGAGCACTGTGCCATCGAGCGCAGCATCACTGTGCTCTGCCACCACCTGGCATTTCGCTCCCGAACAGTCCTGAAGGCTCCTTGCTGCAAGGCAGGTGCTCACAACCTCCCACCTCCCAGGGCTTCCCCCTGCCTTTCTGATGCCTGGATCCACTGCTGCCTCTGCAAACCCTTGAGCTCCTTCATGGCCACAACTTCAAGAAGCTGAGAGCCCCCCATCTCCAGATAAGTATTCTAAAACGATCTGTGGGAATTCAGATTAAATACGGGGGTTAGTATGAGGACTGAAAGATGTAGCATGTAGGATGTTTGTTGCCCCCTTCTGCAAAGGATATTCACCTTTATTTCATTTTCTTCTGCTCAATTCCTGGCTGCAGCCCGTGTACTTACTGCTCGTGCAGTAAGGGGTGCTTGCGCTGCTCGGGGTGCGCTCAGGTGCTGCTCCATCCCTACTGCCTCCAGCCCCTGTTCCTCACAGAGCAGTAACAAGTGTGCCCCTGTCAGCTCAGTGCAAAGCTAGTGTTACAGTTTAAAGTTAAATCTGAATTACAGTGTGCTGAAGTGTTAAGCCTTAGCTGATGACTTTGAGGTGGCAAGGGAAGGGATCACTGCGAGGTGCAGTACTGTGTGTTAGCAGTGGAGCTTGGAAGAAGAAAGCCTCAGAGCCAGCGCCAGCAGCTCCATGATGTGAGCAAGGACTGAGACAGCACAGCTCACTCCTAGCAGGGCTGGGACCCCCACATGGGCAGCCCCACACGTGCTGTGAGCAGGAGGCTGTGCCTTTGCTGCAGTGGGGCCCTGAGGCTTGGTCACTGCCACGCGTCCTGAGCACCTGCAGCGTTACTTTGGAGCTTGCAGCGCTCCTGATGCTTCATAGGGGCTAGGCCCAACTTTGGGGCAGCTCCAGGGCTCCATGCTGGCATTGTCATGTGCCAGCAAGCCGCTGCCTGATGCTGACCCTTGGGAAGTGTTCTTCCATGCCACCTGCCAGTCCTTCCAGCTCAGGGCCTGTGCTGCCTCCTGGGAAAACAACTGTAAGAACAGAGAAATGAATCCTTCCATTTGGCATTGGGTGCTATGAAAGCAATCCAGCACATCTGCTGTAGGCGCAGCCATGCCCAGTATAATGGGACTCCTTGGTGTTTGCCAGTTATTCTGAAACTCCTTTGAGTGCAAAACAAGGGTTTAAGAGTATATGAACTACTTATAGCGATCTTGCTATTAATAGTGTAGCTGTGAGGTTTGGGTTGTACAAGAGTTAAGGCAAAAACCACCTTCTGGTTAGCTAAGTTGTGGGCAAACTCCCAGAGGTTGTTCTTCCTGCTGCCTCTGTTCCCGTGAGCCGCTGAAGTCTCGGAATAATTTGCAGTGAAGAATTTCTGGGTTATTGTATGGGATCTGGATATGCTCAGTCTGTCCATGGGAACGTCCTCAGAGATGTTAATCAATCTGAGGTTAATCACCACCAGGAGAGGTGGCTGGTGATGTCAGCTGTTCAGGCTTTGGGAAGGCTCCCAGTGAAGACAAGCAGAAATGGCAGCTGGGCTGCTGCACAGCTTCCTTGTAAACATAGGGAGTGTGGTGACTGCTGAGATGAGGTGAAATGATGGTTGTAAGCCGAAGTAGCCTGGCTTTAGGGTTGATTGGCTGAAGAGCCAAGGCTTCCCAAAACCTAATGGAGCAGGTATGCAGGAGAATCACACTTCTGTACCCTAGCTAAGGTATGCAGAACAATGGGATTTATGTCAAATTCCTCTGAGATCCTCTCATAAGGTACAGAGTAAGTACCAAAGTGCTGTTTGGCTGAGGTTCATGGGATGGAGCTGCATTGGCAGCAGCTCATCTTCTCTTGGGCTCCCTGAGTAAAGCATGGCAAGGTGTAAGTTGGTGCAAGGCCTCCAAAGACTGGCAGCTGTGGGCCTGCGCCTCCTGTTGCTGCCTTGCCTGGCCCAGAGCAGGGAATGGTCAGGGCCTGTATGGCCCCAGGGATCCCACGTGCAGCTGACAGGGCCCGGACCCCCCACTCCCCACCTCTCCCAAGGCCAGTGTGACCTTGCAGGGGGGGCAGTGGTGTTGCCAGAGCTTGGGCAGTGCTCCAAGGCAGGAGAGCCCAGAGAAGCATGCAGTGCTGGGAGGCAAGGGTGCTTAGCAACAGGAGCTGTGGAAGATGCTGCATTTCTCCCTGACACCCTTGCTGCTGTCAGAGCAGGGAGTGCAAACACTCAGTGTGTCAGCATGACTGTGCACCTAGGAAACACAGTTTAATTTGAACAAAAATATAGATATGTATTGTGGCAATAGAGGGAAGTAATTGCAAATGTTAAAAATGCAGCTTAACTTCCTGCAACAGTGATTTTTGAAGCAGAAAAGTAATTTAACTGCTACTGTCTTAGGGAAAAAATGTTGAGCAGTTTTCAAATCCTCTCTGGAATTAAACAGTTTCAGCGAGATTTGAGAGCATGTGTAAATGGTTTATTTTCTGTCCTCAGTTTCTTGGCACTTTAGCACTCGGAGCAGGAGAATCTCTGGAAAGAAAGGGAGGAATAAACTTGGCGAGATGCTGATTTGATGCTGGGGACACACGGAGATATTTGCGGCTGTGAGATGTTTAACGAGGATTCCAAGGGCTGATAGCATAGCCACGGAAATTGGGAGTCAGCTAAAAACATCAAACATAGCAAAATAATTCTCAAATATTTGCTGTTGCATGTGAGAGCTTGGGCTGCCGGGGCTATTGGCTGCGGGTGCAGGTCCTGGCAGCAGCTGACGTGGGGAGTGCTTGGGATGTAGGTGTATGAGGAGACTTCACAGACTTTAACGTGACACTTGGAGGAGTTATTGTCCAGCTTAACCTGGCTTTGCTGTTCTTTTTAATTGGAGGTCTGTGTTAGTTTAAGAAAAAAACAAACCTGTAAATAAGAGTGGTGAAAGCTCAGCAGCGCTGCACTCACCAATTGGTGGCAGAGTGAACCTTTGTTTTCGTGTACCTGGTGGTGCTGTCTGGTACTGGGGGAGTGAGGAGGGGAGGAGGGAGACAGCAGGAGGAGGGCATTCTTCTTCTGATGAGCCCACAGTGCTGGCAGGACAGATCTGTGGCTCTGCTCATGCTGGTGCAAGGTCAATGATTGCACTGCAATAGGAATCTAGGCATGTATTTCCAGGTATTTTTGCTGATGAATGTTCATTACTAATGATATGAAAGCAAGATGGCAATTAGCACTGTGATGTGAAAAATGTTTCTGTTTGCTCACCAGTGTTTGCAAGTGAAGGGACACAAGACTGGTGGAGCCAACTGCTCAGAAGCCTTTCTTTCTGCTTCTGCCTGCCGTTATTCTTCACTGTTTTCTAACATCAATTATTATAAAACTGGGCAAGTAGAATTGTTTAAAGATTGTCTCTCTGGATGGTCCTTCAGTGGAAAACGTGGTTGCTAAAAAATCAAAACTGAATACTCTCTTTCAGTTTGAGTTGTGGCTGTTTACAGAAGTCCCATCTCCAGCCCAGAGGTATCAGTGCTGCGAGCATGCTGGCAGTACAAGGAAGGTGAGAGAGGTACAAGCACAGGAGGAGCTCCACCACCTGCCCCAAGGGTTTCAGAACGCTCAGAAGCCATGGGTGCTGTGTGGGGGAGCCACAGGTTCCCCTGAGCAGGACCAGCGTGACCTTGGTGCTGCTGCAGCCGCATCCCTGCAGTGCCACGGTGTGTGTGTTATGACGCACAGAGCAGGAGCAGGCCTTCCATGGGGCAGTGCTCCATAGCTGCTCAGCAAGCTGCAGGACTGCTCAGTTACCTCCCCTGACCCGAGCACCTCGCCCACATTTGCAGGCTCATAGAGCTCTTTCTGCAGGAAAGATGGATCGGCTGCATGTCTTGTGCAGTGCTGTTTATTTCCAGAGGCTGCGCAGGGCTCAGCTTCCCTGGGCATGCACAGAGCAGGCAGCAGCTCTCTCTTGCCCGGATGCTCCTCTGGGCGCTAAGCCCTCAGCTCCCCCATGGGGCTGAGCCCCCCAAGCAGCCAGCACCCACACCCCAGCTCCATGCTTGCAGACAGGGAAGCCTTCCTGCCACTGAGCTCAGCTCCTGACCGCCCTCAGCTATTTTTGGGTGATGCCTCCTATTGTTTCAGCCCTCCAAATAAAGCTCAGCACACCTGGCTGTAATGCCGACACCATTTGCTGCAGGGACAGCAGCCTCAGCACAGCTCTGCCTGCCCTCTGTGGTCTGGGATGGCTGTGCAGGCTGTGAAAGCCAGTTTGGTTTGACTGCTGCTATGCTGGTGCAGAGGCATCATCACCTCTTTCCAAGTTTGCTGTGTAAGGACTGGATGAGTCCCCTAAAATAAATGGACCATCAGCAGAAATGATGGAGACTCTGTGAAAGAGTATAATATCACTGTGCCCAGTGATCTCAAGGACATGTAGTTTTAAAAGTCCCTCTGCCCCCTGCCTTGAGCCTATCTGTGAGCAGCTCCCCAAGCCTCTACCCTCACCTTGCACCCTGCTG